TAAGTCCAATACATGAAATAAATCGTAATATAGGACTGTCATAATAATGAAAATAGGTGAGGTCGCAATAGCCAAATACTGAGTCGAATATATTCAATATTTCATTACGATTGTCAAGATTAGTACTTATCTTAACAATAAATAAATATTAAAATACCTGTATGCAAGAGAAAATTATTGCATATTATTAGTATATATATTATAAAACAGATTCTGTAGAATCATATAATTATGTGTATCAATGTACTGGAAATTTGAACGCTATCAATTCCAGTAATATAATACCGATTCGCATAAGTCCGGATTTACAATAGGTGTTTTAAATCTTAAGCCGTAAAAAATTGACCAATTACAGTTGAATACGAGGAGAATATTTGATTGTGATTTGTTTATTTCTTATGGTTTAAAGAGAGAGAGAGAGAGAGAGCTTAAAAATCTATTGTAGATCAGGACTAAAAAAGAACGGCAATCTCATGCCATGTCTTAGCGCCGAGACACTGCCGTGCATTTATTCTTTTTTAATATTCGGTAAACAACAAGGATAAAATAATATATTATGCGCATGCATGAAAACGCACGTCGTGTTTTCAGATCATATATGAAACATCGCTGTTGCAAATGTTAATCTTCCTGATTTTCAAATTCCTTCGACTTTTTGTACAACGCGTGATATAATTTGCAACAAGATATACAATAGTATATTTCAAATTTTACATTTTGTCTTTTCTGTCAATTTGTACCATTCTTTTTTATTACAAATGATGCATATTTTTACTGTATCTAAATACACGACTATTGTATATGAATTGTATTGAATTTACATCGTACATTATGCTATAAAAGATATCACAGTTATTATTGATTTGTGTCTTATGAGATATCTTATCTATTTCTATATTATAGTCCGTATTCAGAACGCTTATAACATAGTTAGCGAGCTAACATACTATACTTTACGTTACGCATATTATAGAATTTCGGAAATAAAAGTGCGTTTTTATCGATAAAAGTGCGTTCTGAATATGGGCCTATAGATTCTTCTTCAATTATTTTAATTTTGATAGAATCTTTAATCAATTTAGAATAAATGTTTTTTTAAGACAAAAAATTGAAAGAAATTGCTATAGTTATAACAATTTTTTAGATCGCATGCTTTTGTACTTATAAGTTTTAAATTAGAAATTTATTAAAATGTGAAATTAGCTGATAAATCTGGTTTTATGATCTTTCAATCATTAAAACTTTGTTCGCTCATATTTTTTTTTAATTCGTTTAAACTAAAAAATTTGCGGCCACTAAACGAAACCAATAGTTTTGTTAAGAAAAAATATTTTAAAATCGAAAAAAATTAATAAAAATAGCGCACAAATGAAAATGATAAACAAAAGTACTCTGGTACAAGTATTTACGGGAAGTAAAAAGCAAACACAATTTTTAGAATAAATGTTACATTTTTAAAAAAATATTAATGTTATCAATGGAAAAGGAATCCGTGTAAAAATTAAGTGCTTTGAATGTTGGCAAACTATTAAAAGCATGACGCAACTTTGGAAAAAATTAAATTTATGTTATAATTTTCCACATATTAGGACACAAAGAATTAATCAAGATTGTCCAGAAAGAAAATTTCTTTGGTTCCATTAGACAACAAAGCGGTAATTGTTTAAATTCAAAACTAATAGAATTTACTCGTGCCTATAAGAAATTGGTTAGTATGGAAGTGTTACATTCAAATACGCAAAATTGTGCTGCAGAAACTGATCACATGTTAAGTTTAATTGGTGAGCCAAGTTTGAATCCGTCTACTTCCAAATTTGGTATAGTACGTATGAGAATTTTAAATATTCCAAATCCTGATTATTATAACATGAAATTGCCGGAAGAAGACGCCTTTAGATATATTTGCAGATATTGAATTAAAAAGTACATGGAAATGCATATATGTGAAAAGTGTACAGATTATATTAATAAAAGTAACACTAACGTAAATTTTTATAATAATACAGAGAAAAATCCTTTGAAAATAAATCATGAAAATAAATAAGTCACTATATAGTAACGATATAACATAAATTTTTGTAGTTATATACATAAATTAGAAGAAATATTTTGTGCAAAAATTTGAAAATAATTGCTTTAAAAAAAACATTAGTGATTATTTAGTTCAATATTCAGAAAGTGCATGGGAAGTGTTGTTTAATACAATTTTTGAAAAACCATGTGATGATTTTCCTACAACGTATTTAACCACAACTATTTTTCCGTATGTGTATTTATTTCACTTTATCTCAGTATAATAAACAATGTAATAAAGATGTTAGAAAAAACTCAATAAACAAGAATAAATTGAAATGGACAGAAATGAAGTCATTTCCAGATTTCCGAATTCGCGAAACTGCTTTTTCATATGACCTAGATATATTTTATTTTA